AAAAAAAAAAAAAAAAAAAAAATCTTCATTTAAATTATTTTATTTAGATCTCGACCCGGAATGAAGATTAATATTATTATTATTATTATCATTATTATTAATGTTGTAGGCATTAAAAAAAAAAAAAAAAAAAAATTTAGCTGAGGGTGTTTAAATTTTTATATATATATATAAATGTTCATATCGTAGAAAGTTAATTTAAACGATTAAAAAATGTTACAAAGGGTAATCATAATAATAATAATTATAATATTAATATATTTTCTTATGATTATTAAACGGTAAATAATAGTAATAATAATAATAATAATTGTTTTTTTTTAAAAAAGGTTTTCGTCTGCTGTGCTGTTTTGGCTATGGTGTGCTCGGTTATTGCTGAGCCACCAGTTTCGGGAGCTGCTTACCTTCCACCACACTCAGGTGGCCAAGGTTTTGGTGGAAGCGGAAGCGGATTTGGATCCGGCGGAAGAGGAGGAGGAGGAGGTTATTCCGGTTCCGGTGGATTCGGTGGTAATTCCGGTTTCGGAGGCGGTTCCGGAGGTTTCGGAGGAGGTTCTTCTTTTGGCGGAGGCTATGGCGGCGGTGCCGGTGGTGATGGCCCTTCTGTGAGTTCTAATAATAATAATAATATTTTACCCCCATTCGGTATATTATTATTAATATTATATTGATAAATTTTTAGGAACCAGCCAACTACGAATTTAGCTACGAAGTTAAAGATCCCGCTTCCGGTAACGATTTCGGACACATGGAAAGTAGAAAAGGTGATTTCGCACAAGGAAGATATCACGTTTTGTTACCTGATGGCAGAACCCTCGTAGTCGGTTACACAGCCGATGAAAACGGATACCAACCAGAAGTAAGATGATGATAATAATAAAAAAAAAAAGGTTTCGCGATAATGATAATGGTAACGAATAACCTTTTCCTTAATAGATAAAATACGAAGGAGAGGCTCGAGTCAACACTGGCTTTGGAGGAGGTGTTGGTGGTGGATATTCTGGATCTGCAGGAGGATTTGGAGGAGCTGGTGCTGGAGGTGGAAACGGATATAGTGGTAATTTCGGATCTTTCGGATCCGGTGGAGCAGGTGGAGCAGGTGGATATTCTCAAGGTGGTAGAGGATTTGGTGGAGCTGGTTCTGGATTTAACAGAGGTGGATCCGGCAGTTTTGATTCTGCATCTGGCTACAGATATTAAATTTAAATTTAAATTATTACTACTATTATTACTTTTAAAAAAAAAACCAAAAAAAAAAAAAGAAAATCTCCGAGTTATCAACGAACCAAACTTTACAAAGTCTTTTCTTATCACTATTATTATTATTATTATTATTAATTAATTAATTAAAAAACATTTTAGTTAGTATTTATTATATAATTTCAGTAAAACTTTTTATTAGCAAAGCGTAGCCATTTGTACTTAATTAGAGCTTTTGAATTTTTTTCTTCTTCTTATTTATCTGTGATTAATCAGTTCCCTTTTAAAGTTATTATTATTATTATAGACTAGCTATAAAAACTATTACTTCCCCCTCCCCCTTTATTTTTTTTGTATATTATTTGTAAAATATAATGTAATTATAAAAAATAAATAAAAAAAAAAATTTTATTGAATAATAAACTTAACGTACGTTTTATTTCAACATACATACACCTATTCCATCAAATAATATTACCGATAAAATTTTAAATGAACTGGAATAAACTTTGTGCTGGATAACTTTATTATATCAGCGATTTTTAATATTAAAAAAAAAACTCTCCAGGGATTTTTTTTTTTTTTTTTGGAAAATTATTTTAAAAACGGCGGCTGGCTTGTTTTTAAGAACTCGTTTATATGTGATTGCTTAATTTATTTATTATAACGAGTACATTAATTTTTTTTTTGTAAAATCAGGTTGGTTGTAAAAGTTATTATTATTATTATTATTTAATTTGATATAAATTAAATAATAATATACAAATACATTTTATTTATTAATTAAATAAAATTTGTTTAAAATAAAAGCAATTCGAGTACCGGAAAACGAATGTGATTTGCATTTAAACAGCGCGCTCTTTACACAAAAAAACAAACCATTTCGATTTGTTTATATGTATTAATTGAACAACCCGTCGGTAGATGGTGCGCTACGCAAAATTTTAACGAAATTTTTATTTATTATTATTACTATTTATGTGCAAACACGTGGGTAAATAAACCGTCGTAGAAAAAATTTTAAAAAAAAATTAATTTCGCGTAAATCGCGGGCGTATTTTAATTAAAAACGAATCAAATTTTATAAAAAATTACCGTAAGATAAGTAAAGAAAAAAATGAGAGAGATAGACAAATAAGAAAAAAGTTTTCCATAATCAACTGAAGAGAAATACCAACAACAACAAGTAAACATTACGATTAAATCATAACACCACATTAAAAACTAAATAATAATAATAGATATAAAACGAATCAAAAAATAGTAATAATAATAATAATAATTACAAGTTTCAACCTAGTCGACTTTTCGAAAGTTAAATTATTAACTCACCCATAATACAACATTTAATTTATTTACAACATTTAAAACAAACAAAATCTATAAATCGATATATCGATATATCGATACATAAATAAATAATCACGCTTAAAATATTAACAATATAAACATTATTCGAACGCGTAACTTCATCAAAAAATTCAATTAAAAACATTTTCAAAATGAAAACAAATACGAATGACGACAAATCAAACCACAATAAGGAAATCATAGAGTAAATAAACAATTTTGACTGATCGAATTTACTAAAAAAAAAAATTCCCGCCAAAAAAATTTTTAAAAAAATTTCCCCTCATTTTTGTATTAAAATTTTTTTTTTCCCCCATTCGATTTTATCATTATATTTGTCGTTTTATTTACTCTGTGAAAACAAAAATGAAATCGATGATAATGATGATGAAAACTTATGAAATAAAATAAAATATAAAATAACATAAAAATTTACAACTTAATCGCGACGATTGAAAATATTATTTTATTAATTTTAATTTAATGATTAATTGTGTGTGTGTGTGTGGCCCTTCACCAAAATAAGCAAAAACAGGTTGTTGGTGTTATTATTATTATTATTATTATTATTTTGACAACCGCATGGGGGGCTCGTGGCCCATGGCCCACACCTAAATTAAATATAATTAAATAATAAATTTCTCCCCATCAATCACGCAGTTTTATAATCGAATTAATTTCATACCCAAACGTTTTCATTCGTTTCGACTCTTTTATCATCATCATCATCATCATCTTCACAACATTATCATCATTATTATCATTTATCACGGCCCTCCATTTAAATATATATATATTTTAATTAATTTAAATTTTTTCTTATTACACACACGCGCGATTGAGAAAATTATTATTATCATCATTTAACGTTTGTCTCCATTTTCCTACGCGTTAAACGCAAATCCAAAAACACAGTTTTTATTATCATTATCATTATTATTATTATTATTATTAGTATTAACGAATCATTTTATTATATTAAAACGCGTTAAACTTTTAAATGTTTTTTTGTTATTAAATAAAACCTTGGACTAATTGTTTAAACAAAAAAAATTTCATCTTACTTATTATTATTATTATTTAGTTCTCTTAGAGTCGTAAAAAAAAACCCGAGAGAAAATTATTTTCGAAAAGAAAATTCGGGATCGTAAAAAAAAAAAATTATTAATAATAATAATAATGATAAATATGTGAGGGTCGTTTAAAAATGGCCTTCGTTCGTTCGTTCGATTTTCCAGGCGAAAAAACGACGCCCCCCGAATTTTCCTTTATCTTTTTAGGTTAAACATTTAAATTGTTTTGTTTTTAATCACGTGACATACAAACACGAGAAAACAACAATGCAAACAACCCTATTGACACATTTCCGCCATGTTTTATTTGACCGTCTTCCTTCCTACATTCTCCAACCTACAAACGATCGTTTTAATCATTTAAATTATTATTATTATTACTAAATTATTTCCTGTTTTCTTTTTTCCACCCGGAAAATTAATTCGTTTTTTTTTTTTTTTTTTTTTTTTTAGACATTGAATATATTTAATAATTAAATTCAATACGAATTATGACAAATAATTAAAATGATTTTTAGCAAAATCATTTAAAAAAAAAAAAGTCCGCCATTTTGTTTTTGTTGTCGAAAAATTCTTTGTTTAACTTACGTGGACTAAATTAATATGTTATTATTATTATTATTGTTAATTTAATAATAGTTTTGACGTCAATTAAAGGTCGATTCGATTCAAAATAAAAAAACATCTTCGATTATAATTTTTAAATAATAAAAGAATAATAATAATAATAATAATAATAATAATAATAATAATAATAATAATAATAATAAGAAATTAATTCTTTCGATCGAATTTAAAAAAAAAAAAACAAAATGGCGACGTTATAAATGACCAACCTTCTATTTCTGTTATAATAAACATTACGTCGTCGTCGTCGTCTAACCGTGAAGGTTAAATTATTATCCATTGTATATATTTTTTATTTATTTAACTATTATTATTATTATTATTATTATTATTATTATTATTAATTATTAATTTATATAATTTCGTTGAATTTAAATTAAATGATATAAATAAATAAATAAATAAAAACTCAATCAAGGGAAAACATCCTTTTTTTTTTATTATTAAAATTTCGCAAAGTCACGAAAAAAGAAAAAAAAATGGCGAAAATAAAATATAAAAAAGGTTTTAATGATGGTAATAATAATAATAATAATAATAATAATAATAATAATAATAATAATAATAATAATAATAATAATAATAATGAGTAAACGATTTTGGCATTAATAGAAAAGAAGACGCACGATTGGTTACGACAAACGAAATCATCATGACATAAACCTTTTCGAAATCACGATTGCAAAAGAAAAATTGTTAAAGATGAAGACAACGAGCCGGAAACTATCGATTAATTCATTTCCGGAAGTTCGATTATTACAATTAAATTCGTAAATATAATTAATTATGAGCAAATCCGATCCGACGGATTTTTGTCTGTATAAAACAAAAAATGATAAAATCTTATCATCGACAAAAACAAACACGTGGTAGAATCGAGGCAAACGACAACCGGAAATCACCCTTCTAAGGTACATTCCCGGAGAAAAAAAATGATTTAAACCAAACGAAACGCACGCACGTAGGGGGGAAAACTTCCCAAGAAACAAAAACAACGACGAAACGTAAACATTTAAAAATTATAATCATTGAAAAATTTGGAAAACCAAACCGGAAGTACTTTCATTTTCGAAAGGAAATAAACTTAGGGATCAAATCGTCCGGAAAACAAACATCGTGAAAATTCCAGCAGCATTCATTTCTTACAAACCTCAAATATTTTTTAAAATTCCAAAACACACGTGATTCGCCAAATAATAATAATAATAATAATAATTCACGTGATATAATATCAAATTTATTTATGTCAATAAAAAATTAACGGATTCGTAATAATAATAATAATAATAAAAAAGAAAAATGGCGGAGAGAAAAGTATTAGAAGAGATAATAATGATAAAAAATTTCATTCCAGCACGATTTTTTAACGAACGACCGTGACATTTTTTTTTTTTTTAATTTTTACCAACGAAATAATAATAATAATAATAATAATAATAATAATAATAATAATAATAATAATAATAATAATAATAATTTTTTTGACGAAAGCGATTTTAAATAAATGTATACATAAATAAATTAAAAGGAATGACGGTGTCAAAAATTTCGATTTAAATATATTACGAACGAATTAAAAATCGTTTGTTCGAACGGTTACGAAAACAACAACAACAAAAAACGTTGCGAACGTGATTTATTAACTGAACAAAAAGAAAATTTCCCTCCCCCGAACCGTTTATGCGCGTGCATTTTCCCAACGTTTATAAAAACGTTCCAATATTTTAAATTACGGGGAAAAAAGAAAATAATAAAACCGGAAATGACGTTTTGCGAAACATTATCGAAAGTGATTAATTAAATAATTTTATTTAACATCCGAGCATTTATTATTATTATTATTAATATTATTTTAAACTGCCGCACGCGATATTAATAATAATAATAATAATAATAATAATAAAATGCACACGTGAGAAATGCATTTTCTTTTTTTTTTACGGTAAAAAAAAAATCGAGAAAGTGGATCAGATTCAAGGCAATCAAGAAAAATCTTTTTTTTTTTTTTTTTTATTTATTTTTCTTACGGATAATTTTAAATTTTATTGTTTATTTTATTGTTCAAGGCGAGAAATGTTTAACGCGTACGCACACGCACGCACACGCACGCACGCACACGCATTCGCACCCGCGCACAAACACACAACGAGAAAATTATCGAGTTACCCCATGCTACGATGACTTATTGTTTTGTTTTCCTTTTTTTTTTTTGTCGTAAAAATTTTACCTTTTCAGGTATTTTAACAATGACGTAATAAAAAACTAAAACATCCGCAAACAAACAAACAAACAAACAAACAAAAATTTCAACTTAACATATATGAGAGAGAATAAAAATTAAAATTCAAAAGCGTTGGCGTTTGTACGACAGAAAGAAAAAGGACGAAATTGTTTGTTTTGTTTTTAAAAAAAAATAATAATAAAATAATAATAATAAATAAATAAATAAATCACGCGGATCGCCCACCCTTTCCCCCCCCCCTACTCTGACAATTTATTAAATTTTTTGAAATATTAATTATTAGTATTATTATTATTACATTAACGGATGTGACGTAGGATTTATTCCGATTGCATTCATTGATTATTGTATTTTAAAAAAATCCTGTTTCATACGTCAATACATAAAAACGTCGCCAATAATTAATATAAAAAAATTAATAAATAATTAATAATAATAATAATAATAATAATAATAATAATAATAATAATAATAATCGTTATGTGATTCAACATTTCATTCAAAAAAAAAAATTTTTTTTTTTTTTTTTACGTTATCCTTTGCCAGAAATTTTTGTTTTTGTTTTTTCTTGTTCTTTGTTTTGTTTTGCTTACGTCACGAACGTTATACTTTAATAAACTTTGCTCGTTTCGAAACTTTGGGGGGGGGAGAAGGGGGGGAACTAAAGAAAATAAAAACAAAAAAAATTAATTAAAAATTATTACAAAATTACGACGATTAAATATTGTATGAACTCATTTAAACGTTTTTTCTTTTTATTTTTTATTACGGTAATTTTAATTATTATTATCATCATTATTATTATTATTGTTATTTCTTGTTATTATTACCACAAAATAATTAAAAGTATTTAAAAAACTTTTTTTTGTAAGAATAGTTTGAGTAAGCTTTTACGAAAGTTAATAATAATAATAATAATAATTTAGATTGAATTGAGTAAACAAAAAAAGAAAAATTTTATGTTTTTGGTTCAGGTACGATAATAGTAATAATAATAATAATATGCGAGGATTAAAGGTATTTTTTTTCTGTGAGATGTTGAAAGAAAAAGATAAATTTTCATTTTTTTTTTGTAAAATATATTATTATTATTATTTAGTTTTTACATATATAAATAAAAACAAAAATTTTTAAGTTAATACCAACATAAAATAAAAAAAAAAAAACATGGCGAAAGACGAAGGGTAGGTTTTAAAAAAAAAAAAAAAAAAGAAAATTTCTGTCGGGGATTATTATTTTAATCTAATACTGATATCCGTTGAAACCGTTGTTAGATCTCGATGAGGCGGCGGACGGATATCCGGTATCTTCGTATCGAATCTGTGGCCTGTATCCGGTTTCGTCTGCTTCGTATTGAACGATTTGCATTCTTCCGTCGGGTAATAAAACGTGGTAGGCTCCACGTGCAGATTCGTTTTCTCTGGATTCTTTATGACCGAATTCGGTACCGGTTTCGTCCGAGGCTTGAACCTTATAATCGTATTCGTATTTTGCGGGTTCCTAAAATCAAATCCACGTTCGTAATATCATGAGTGGAGGAATTTTAAAGAAAATACATTGATAGGTTATGTAAACTCACGGCGAAGGGATCTTCGGTGGTTTGAGATCGTTTAGATGGTTCGTATCCTTGAAAACCTGAGGATCCTTGAGATCCGAAACCGTTTCTCTCGAAAGGTGCGCCGTAAGTGGCGGAGGAAGTTGACCGGATTTACCGAAAGAG